ATGGCCCAGATCTGCTGCAGCTGCAGCAACGCGAAGCTGCTGCTGTTGCTGTTGCTGCTGTTGTTGCTGCTGCTGCTGATGGTGTAGCGGCAGCCCCGCACGTCGCATCCAGACTTCCCACGCAGCAGCGTCATCTGCACCTACAGCAGCAGCAGCAGCAGCAACAGCAGTTTGTGCTGCTGCTGCTGCTGCTGCTACGTCGTCAGCAGCACGGGATACAGCAGAAGAGGAACGTTGCTCTGATGGCTCCTCCAGCCCAAACCCCCCCTCCTCTGTCTCACCAACCCCAAGGGGGCCCCCCGGGGCCCCCCCCCAACCGAGTGGATGCGGTTGCTGCTGCATGCACAGCAAACACAAAGGAGTTGCACCGTTTCACACCGCAGGTATAGCACGCAACGATGCAGCAGCAGCAGCAGCAGCAACAGCAATAGCAGAACAAGCAGCAGCAGTACCAGCAGCAACTGAAACACGCACAGCAGCAGCTGCTGCTGCAGCCACAACAGCAAGAGCCATTGCACCGACAGCAGCAGCAGCACCAACAGACGGTGCACAGCTCCAGTTGCTGCAGACCGTCGGCAGCATCAGCAGCTCGCACACGGCAGCAGCAGCAACAGCAGCAGCAACAGCAGCAGCAACAGCAGCAGCAACAGCAACAGCAGCAGCAGCAGCACCAACGACAATAAAACCCATATAGATGCATGAATAGCGTCAGCAAGTGTTTAGGTGCTGCTCACATCCCATAGACGGAAGCTGGGGGCCCCTGAGGGTGTTGCAGAAGAAACACTAGAAGGCTGGTGTCTGCGTCTTTGCTGTTGTTGCTGCTGCTGTTGCTGCTGTTGCTGCTGCTGTTGTTGCTGTTGTTGTTGCTGGTGCCTCTGTTGGAGCATTCGTTCACGCTGCTGCTGCTGCTGCTGCTGCACCAGCCGCTGCTGAATCCCCTGCAAATCCGGCAGCACTGTGAAGGGCTGGGGGCCCCCCGCCGGGTATATAATACCAAAAGGCAGCCAGGGCAGCAGAGGGTCCCAGCGCATGAGGAGATCATCAGAAAAATAGTTTCGTTGCCACCAGCCATGCATGTCTTTGCTGCTGAAGGGGCCCCGCTGCG